TTTCCTATGTAATCTCTTTTGACCCTTACCACAGCTTTTTGAGGTAAGGAGAGCAAATTAGGAAGGAAAACATTTCCAGTTCAAGGTCTCTTAAATGTTAGGTCATATTTTTTTTTAAGTCACACTTTAACTATTTTTCCCTGAGGATTTGAAAGAGGCCACTTTCATCACAAGGTGGAATCTGCCCTACTCTGTTTATTTAGGGAGAGTCAATATTCAGATTTATTTAGGGAGGGTTCCCATCTACCTCAGGTCACTTCGTGCTCTTCAAGTTACGGCTAGAAGAAAACCTAGGTGAGGACCTGAAATGGGAGTCAATACCAGATTTTGGATTTGGGAAACACATTTTTGACCCAGTTGTAGACCTGATTAAATGCAATGATCCTGAATTTAACTGTTTGTATCTTCATATATTTCCCAATGAAATTGAGATGAGCAAGAGCTTGAAATTGTGCCAGCCAACCTTCACCAAATGCTTTCAAACCTGGTACAGAGGAGTGTTCTACAAGCCAGTGGTCTAATCTATCATCAGTGCCCCTAGCTGACCATGGCTACAGGGCCATTTGGGCCAGACCTCATGGTTTTGAGCCCAATAACTATTTGTCTATCTTTAGTTTGTACGTTTACTTTCTTAATGGAGAAAATATTAATCATCTTCTGGTATGTGGATCATTATTGGAGAGTGGTTACGATTATGTATACTTTTATGGGCTCTATTAATTCTCTGATAATTCCTCTGTCCCAAAATAATTTGTGAAATCTCCCTCTCTCTCCAGAGTCAATATCATCAAGATTATGTTCTCTGACTGTAATGCAATAAATTTAGATATTAATTAAAAATAGACAGTTTTAAAAATCACAAGCTTTGGAACCAAATTATATTCAGTTTATAACCCTTGGATTTGAAAGGAAATCAAGGGAAATTATAAAATACTCAGATTGTGGACAGATCTTAAAAACATAGTGCTGAATGAAAAAAGTAATAAGTACAATGAAAACCTTAGGCGTGCTTCTCAAAGTATTTGTGATGAAGGACCAGTTTTATTAAATTTCTAATCAATCACAGACCTATTATATTGTAAAATGAAATAAAAATAATTACTAGAAAAATGAAATTTAAAAAAGCAAAGATATACAAAATATAGGCCTGAATTTTTATTGTTAGATTCCAAAGACATGAAATTACATTTTATGTAATTTAAATATAATTAGAGCAAACATAACATAGGAAAAATGTTTCTACATGCGAATTCTCAATTTTTTTACTTGTCTTAACATAGACCAGTAAGAAAGAATTTGGGGACCAGCATTCTGAGTAACATTGATTTATAGCACAATGCCAGTTATATACTTTAAAAATACATAACACAAAAGAACAATCCATGATTTATAAGAATACATATAAATTAAGAAACACATATCGAACCTACTGGCATGATTGTCTATTAAGGGGACAAAGGGAAGAAAAGGAAGTTTGAATGAAAGGGAATCAGTCAATCAAAAGAATGACCCAGCACAGATGAATGAGAATGGTGTCCTAGGAGGATGAATAACTCAACTTCTGCCTCTGAGGGACACACACACATACACACACACACACACACACACACACACACACACCAAAAAGGTGTATGAAACAGTCTTTCCCACATTCTTAGTCTCTTTATCACCAACTTCTTATTATTTGCTATCTACTTAAAGTCACCTTATTATCATTAACTTTTTTCCCCCACCCTTTTTGAGCTACATCAAACTGATAAGAAATCATCAGGTAGATATTTTTTCGCCAGGATTAAATGTGTAATTTATTTTTCACCCTTATCTTCCAAAAAAACCAAATATATCTCTTCTTAATATCTTGGCTAGTTTATACTGGTTAGAATCAGATTCAAAGAATTTTAGACCTTGTAAAGGTCTCCAATATGTTGTCTGTACTTATAGTTCTTCATTTCCCACTCACTTGCAACCCACCCACAAATCTGAAACATAATATTTAAAGTATAACTACTAAATAAAAGGAGAATTGAAAAAAAGCTTTAGCACTGCAGAAGTATATTTTAAAATCTTGATATTTGTCCAATAAATGATTACTCCTGTCTGCTGATTCACGAACTCTGCCTTGTAGTTGCATGAGCTGAAGTCAGGGGATCAGCGCATCTGTACCTGTACATTCCTTTTTGGAAGCTCCCCTCTGCCAGTTTTTCAAAGTGTATGACCATGCACTCCCACTTTGCACGTAGCCTCCCTATTTTGCAGTAACCTGAGTTTTTCTGTGCCCAGGGAATTGAAGGGAAGGGTTCAGTAATAGTTATCTGTGATTTGAGCTGTGAAGAAAAATAATCTGTCTCTATGAGGCCCCAAACTCTGATTCACTTAAAAGTATATTTTTTAAAGTTGATTTATTAAGTTAATCTTTTCACTTTCCATTTTATTTGTGGAGACATGATCCAACTGATTCTGGAAATACATCTCATGCTTTATTTCTTAAACTGTAGCCCTTCAATGTTCATCGCTGAATATTAATAACTAAACGAGTTAAAATTTTGAAGTTTATCTCTATCTCACTGGGTTAGTAAATTAACTACAAAATTAACATGCACTCATCATAACAAGTAAAACAATACAGAGGTATAATAAGAGAAAGTTAGAAGCCTTTCCCTACCAATCAATGCTGGATTACCCAACATGCAGACCAAGTATGTACTCAGGACACCCACAGAAAGAGAGGGCTCTAAAATGTTTTTGAAAAAATGTTATAATTGATATTTCAGAAGAAGCATTGGACAAATGATCATGGGGAAAATCATAAACTTTTGGACTTTAATTTTGTGTTTAGTATTTTTTTTTTGGTGAGGAAGATTGTTCCGGAGCTAACATCTGTGCCATTCTTCCTCTATTTTGTATGTGGCAAGCCTGCCACAGCATGGCTTGATGAGCAGTGTGTAAGCCCGCACCCAGGATCCGAACCCGTGAACTCTGGGCCTCCGAAGCAGAGCACACGAATTCAACTACTATGCCACTGGGCTGGCCCCCTGTGTTTAGTACTTTTATTGAATTTTACATTACAGATTCTTTGTGGAGGACAAAGATGTACAAATAATGCATAAATGTCAAGATTATATTTTTTCTAAATGTAGCTGCATATATACTTTCTATATAATTATCATTGTAGAATTATTTTTCATCTTAAAATTTCACTTATTTTTTAAATGATTGCATATTCATACAGACATATTATGCTTATTATGTAATCACTGTATCTTATTCCATTGTACTAAGAAAACACCTTGCTTGTCCATTCTTACACTGTTAAATATTTTCTAAATTTCCCGCTGTCGTTAAATATATGTCTATATTTATATTTTTGTACATAGCTATTTTCTTTTTCGAAAATAATTTTCTTGGGATATATCACTGGAGTGAGATTATTGCATCAAAACTTAAATATTTAGGGGTCGACCTGGTGGCACAGTGGTTGGGTGTGCGCGCTCCACTGTGGCAGCCCAAGGGTTCGCTAGTTTGGATCCCGGGCGCACACCAACGCACCGCTCATCAGGCCACGCTGTGGTGGCGTCCCATGTAAAATAGAGGAAGATGGGCACAGATGTTAGCCCAGGGCTGATCTTCCTCTGCAAAAAGAGAAGGATTGGCATCGGATGTTAGCTCAGGGCTGGTCTTCCTCAAAAAAAACACAAAAACAAAAAAACAAATATTTATATAAATTTTCCTATCTGTGACAAAATTGCTCACCCAAAGGGTTTTATAGATTCACAAAGGGTAGACTGTATGCATTCTGAGTTTAAAAGTAGTTTGGAGCATGACAAAGGGGGGAGCAGGCAAGGTTGGGGACAAGATGGAGGAGAGAAGAAGAGAGGAAGGAGGCGATTGCCATTATCCTGGCAAGAGATGTTATATTTCCCAACTAGAATGGTGGCAGTGGGTATAGAGAAGGAAATGAATATAACAAATATTTAGGAGGTGGATTTGACAGGCTCGATGACACAGGGAAGGAAGAATAAGGCAGATAGGAGGGTAAGTCACTGGTTTTTTGAAACTTCAGACCTGTGTGGAACAAAACAGTTTGAGGAGAGAGGAGGATATTGCTATGCACCATATCCCCTATATCTGGCACAGTGGCTAGTACAACGAAGGCATTCAATAAATGTTAGTTGAATGAATGCTTCATGCATACATGAATGAATGAGTGCTGCAAACAATGAATCAACATTCCTATTCCCAAAGCCTCACGAGTATTTGGTTGTATACCTAGAAGTTGATTTACTGTTTTATCTACTCCACAGGATATTTTAAAATCAGGACTCATGAGAACAAGGAAGTGAGAGAATTAGGAAAGAAATCTTGGAAAGGAAGAGAATCCAAAGCCAAAGCTCAGGACTTCAGAACAACCAGATCCTACCCTCATAAGATTAGTCAATTATTTTACATGGTCGACCTTGTGCCAATTTATATAGACTTACCTATTCCTTACAGAAGGTGGTCAATCTCTACCTCTGGCCACTAAAAACTCAATATTCCTGGATTCAGAATGAAGTAATGTCTCCATTCCGTTCACCTCATCGTTCACCAGTGAGGGACTGAGCGGATTTTCCCCTAAAGCTCTCTGCTCCGAGTTACAGTCCTCTCAGAGTGCCCACATCTGGCCACAGCGTTCTGGAGCTAAAAGCCTTTTGTGGGAGAATCCCCAAACAGCCTTCTATCTCCAGGTGTGCTTTGGGCACCATGAAACTTAGTTACGTGATTGTGACTTGTGTTTACGTTCTTATATCAAATTTTGTGACTTTGGGTTACTGTCTTTTCCTGTATTTGTCGTATGTCCCCCGGAAGGCAAAGCCATGATTTCTATTTCCTTCATAGCTCCCCAAGAATCAGATATAATGTTTAGCAAAAAGTGCAGACTCAGCAGCTACTGATGATGGCCCACCCGTAATTACTAAATTAAAGTGGTGGTTTTTAATGGTCAATAAAAGGTACCAGGTATCTAGACTTAGGAAAAAAAATGTTTATTGAAGTGGTATGTAGATAAATTATTACCAGCATAAAACTGTTAGTGGAGTTTTCAGCAAGGATTCTTTTTACTCTTAAAATGAAGTGAGGCTTTGTGAGTTCATCGTCCCATGGGAAAAATATTATATTTCTCTGTTCAGATAAAGTCCTTTTAAAAAGGTATATCACTTTGAAGTGGTCTTCTAAATATCTCCAGCCTATGACCAAAACAGAAAATATATTAAAAAGATAAAATTCTTCCCATTTAAAAAGAAGAATTAAATATGTATGATTTAGGGGTAATAAAAAAGGAAAAAATACTTAGGTATTTGAAACACTAGAATTTACTCCTATTTTATTAGTATATACTAAAATATTTAATAAATAATTTAAAGAATCTCCAAGACAAAATGACATATGATCATTAAAATACAAAATATGGCAATAACTTTATTATATATCTAGGAAATATGCTAAAATGTTATTTCATCAAATAAACAAATTTTGAATAACTCTGAGTTCAGTAATCTGGGAACACAGTCCGAAGTGAGAAGTGAGTTTTAATTTCTATTTAAGGCTAAATATCCTTAATAAAAGACTTAAAATTAATAAATATAGTAAGAGAAAATGAGAAGGAACTTCCAGAAAAGTTTCTGAAACTTTGTGGATTAATAGAAATGAACATTTAATTCTCGAGGTGAAATGATTAGTCATATTCTGCGTCGTATTCATTTTCTATTTTGACACGGTGTTCTGGTCCAACCTGTTTGGCTCCTCCGAGGGTGTACTGCTGTCCTTCTCCAACGGCAAGTCTGTTGAATGGGATTATCTTCATGGTGGTTTTTTTCATGGAATACCACCGGGGTTTCCAAGTGGCCCAAATTATGCCATTATCATAACCATTAGGAGTAGATGATTTTGAGTAAGTGCCACCTAAAATAGGTTGTAGACGTACATATTATTGCTCTTGAATTTCCTTACCTCAAAAAGTCTACAAAGAACTGTTTGTTATGAAGTCTACTGTCACTTAACATCAAATTTATAGTGTCATCTACTAAATGAAAATATCCCTCAAGATTCCTAAAATCTCCATTTACAATTGAAATAAATTTATTATTAAACAATCCTTTACATCTGTGTTGAGCTTTCTGGTCACATCCATACTTTAAATGTATTCACTACTAACAGGGCTAGAACCCCAAATTTCCCCAATTGGTCTCTCTCCCTAAGCTTAGCCATCCTGGACTCAGCTGTTCTGGACCATCTTTCCGCAAGCAGGTTGAAATGGCGGGAGTCTCAATTCCTGATCAGGTGGTCTCAGGTCATTTGATAACACAATTTTATTGGAAAGTATGAGGGGCTTTAGAAAACGGTCCTGGAATGTTGTTTTATATCTCCATTATAAAGTGGAGACTAGGTTGATTTGCCCTCTTCTTGTCCCTGGGCACCAGATCTCATGTAATTTTGTAAGGGATTGTCTGAGTTCAATGCTGGAGTGTACCACAGACTATCAACATGGCTACTCTGGGTCATATGGATCGAGCACCTTCCCTGAGAGTTTCTTATAATTACATGACTTGTAGATGCAAAGGTAACTTAGGTTTCTTAAAAAAAAAACGTTGTGATAACAAAAAGGTAAATTTAAATATTTTTTAAGAAGATTCCAAGTAATCTATTGGCTAGGACAACCCTAAGAAGGTAAGATTGCTCATCTTTTTTTTTTCTTTCTCTCTTTTTGGTGAAGATTGGCCATGAGCTAACATCTGTGCCAATCTTCCTCCATGTTGCACGTGGGATGCTGCCACAGCATGGCTTGATGAGCGATGTGTAGGTCTGCACCTGGGTTCCAAATCTGCGGACCCCAGGCAACGAAAGCGGAGCACATGAACTTTAACCACGATGCCACCAGCTGGCCCCAAGATCGCTCATCTTAGTGGATCTTTTGCCATCAGTGGGCCTTCCCCACACGTAACTGTTGAGTAGTAGCAATAGTTTGTCAGTAAGTAAAACCAGTGTTCAGAACTACTCCAGCCTCAGAGCAAACTATAGCTTGCCTTGCCCCCCCCCCCCCCCCCCCCCCCCCCGCCGCTGCATCCTAAAATAAGGGTCTACACTCCTCAGCTGGACTCCTCTCCTCTAAAGCTTTCATGGATCCCTGCCCTTTCCAATACTTCCCCGCTCTTTACTCTATTCCTCCAGATACCTGCTCACTGCTCCCTGGTTTTATCCGACACATAGCTCATGGGAAGCTGAGCCAGTCAAATGTGTTAACAAGCATAAATATGGTAATTAGTCCATCCAGATCATATACAGGGTAAGTCTAGAGGAGATACCATAACCCAAAGTGTCAACTCTGCTGTTGGTAGTTTCAGGCACAATGACAAATGAGTGGATATTTTGCAGCAGATGGATTTCTTGTAGAAGGGCCAATTTGAAGTGCAAGCTTAGTATTATCCAATTCTGGTTTAAAATAAAGAACTATATGATAAATACCCCAGTATCTTTACTAATTATTTTTCATTTCCTTAAATCTATTTATTACCTCTTATAAAAATATGACTACACCATACCTTGGTAATAAACTCCATTGAGGTGGCCAGCATGACACTTGTTCATCCACCAACCGGATCCATCCTGTTGAGCACAGTTGCCTTCAAATTTATCATTGTCATTGTCCCAGGTACTGAACTGCATGCCATTGTGGGACGTGAAAAACTTGTCACTAGGATCATCACCAAAATCATAGCCGTCAAAGGCATCTCCGGCATCTCCACTTATGAAGTAGGCATATGTCAAGCGGTATTTGTCAGTTTCAGGTCCCACCTTGAACGTGGAATAGTCTGCAGTACTATAAGAAAGGGAATACAGATATCACGTCCTGAGCCTGACTAGGGATCTCAGAAGTTCCCTCTTCCATAGGACAATTGCTTGGAATTTTTAACTTTGCTTCTTCAGTCTGAAATATGCTCATTGAATAAAGTTTTCTGCAAATCTGGCAAGAGGCAATGGATGTCTGAACCAGTTCAGAGCTCATCAGCAGCATCCAAAATGGGTCTAGAAGCCTTCAGAGCATCCTGGTGAAAACTAAAAACTGCAGCCATTTTAACGTTTTTTTGCCTATAGGGTCCTAATATGAAATACATATGTGTGGATGAATCTGACTAATTTCATATTTTCCGCTTTTATCTAAGTGTTTAGCATTGTGCACAGTTATCACAAACCACAGGAATTATCTGATAGTGAATAACCATTAATTAATACACCAAACTTGAAGAAGCTACAGCTTCATTAGCCACTCATACCAGCTAAAGGCTGAGGGGTTTTTCTTTTCCAAAGCAGTGTGATAGTGGCAAGAAGGTGGGCTTCCTTGAGTGTCACATAAAAGAAGTGGTCCCTCTGTGGCTCACAAAACATGAACTATAGGACCAGAGTGAGATTTTCCCCAGAAAAAAAGTTGCGAATGAGGGCCGGAATTCTATGGAGTGCAGGGAAGAATGGGCCTTGGTGCATGAACAGAGATTTCCAGAAAATATTTATCTTCTTCCCTGATGTCCAGTACTTGGAAAATGGGAGATGTTCTCACAGGAGAAGGTCTACTGACTATGGTGCTTTCCGGGCAAAAATTTAAAAAATAAAAATATGTGTTTGGACACAGAATATATTTCATTATGTCATAGATGCAACAAGAGGGTTGAATATTTTTCTTGTATTTTCTGTCTCAGTAGGAGACAGATATCCAAACCCTTCTTTATATTGAATCCAACTTTTAATTAGAGACAAAATGTTCAAAGTCCCCAAATAGCTCTGAGCGCAGAGGGGACTTTATCTCACCAAAGGAGCTAGCTGATTTAATTTTAAGGTAGCTCATAGATTTGACTGAATGAATGGTCATTAAAGCACTGGGAAATCTGAAAATGCTGAATTCGCTTTTCAACTAGGATACTCGTTAAGAGGATGGGCTGTAGAGTCAAAGTACCTGAGTTCAGATCCAACCTTTACCGTATACCACCAATGTGACCTGGGAAAGTTAACCTGTAAAATGAGATTAATAATAATACCTGCCTCATGAAATAGTTATTTGGATTAAATTATAATTTCATGCTCAATTTCCGGTACATATTAAACTTTCAGTAAATACTGGCTATTGTTCTGTATGGTTCCAGGGTAAGTAGATTGTACCAAAGCACTCAGATCCAGACTGGATAGGGTCTACCTCTTTGGACTGCTCGAGAGCTAAATTGACTTCTAAGGAAAAATACCTGGTTGTGTTATTTGCATTTGTTAGGCTGTCTTTGTTATTGGTCTATTGTGAGTTGGAAAGTGCACATTCCAGATGGTCTCTACAACAAAAAGTTAGAAGTCCTTTCTAAACAGTACCTGGTTCTGCCATTCCAGTCCTCCAACTCCACTCTTAGTACATATGGGATGGTAGACTGTGTGCTTATCAAATGAATCTTCTCATTTCCCAGCCAAAATTCTGTGGTGCCAGTAGGAGACAGATATCCAAACCCTTCTTTATATTGAATCCAATTTTTCTTGAAATCCACACTGCCATCAAGCCTCTAATTACACAATTGCGTGGGCAAAAGGAGAGAGCAGACCATCAGTGCACGTGAAGAAAACATTATAAACATTTTGTTGAAAATATGGAGGGCATGATTCCATCATTTACTAAGTGACCTTGGGCGAGCTGCCTCAGTTTCCTCATCTGTCAAATAGGAATAAAGATGCTTACTTCTTAGGGTCATTGCAGGAATTACATGACAGAATGTAAGAGAAGTACTTAACAGAGTGTCTGGAACATTATAAATTCTAAATTAGTGGTAATTTTAACAAAACACCTAGAGGACTTTAGCACTCCAGCTTGATATTGCTGATTCTTGTACTGATGGTGGAAAGGTCAACCCATCGCTCAATCTTTGTCTACCAACCGGCACATCCATCACTCACTCCCTCTGAGCGCCCCCTGGAGGCGTAGTTGTAACAGTGGTCCTAGGTAAACAAAAGCTAAAAGGATCCACAGTGAGTACAAGGGGCTAGTAGAGGCAACAGAGGGCCCTTGTCTTGGAACAGCCCAACTGTGTCCTCTGGAGGACTTCATCTTCTTGTGATGGGCAGCCTTAGGTCTTGATCTACCTGATGAAAGAGCTCCCTTCTAGTTCTTTGTCATTATGATACTGTAATTATGTACTATCATGAATCAACAACAGCAGTGCCTGCACGGACTCTGAAACCAGACCACCTGGATTCAAATCCTGAGTCTGTTACTTATTAATGATTATGTGACCTTGGGCAAGTTACTTAACCTCTTGTGCCTAAGTTTTCTCCTCTGTAAAAAGAGCTAATAATTGTACCTACCTCATAGGGAAGTTGTAAGGATTGAGTTAATGTTCACAAGGTGTTTAGAAAAGTATCTGGGATATGGCAGGTGTTTATTAAATACACATGGTGAGAGAAAAATACCTTCTGAAGCACAGTCCATCCATTTCCAGATGTATCAATTTCACAGTAGACTAAGAACTGCTGCTTAGCTTTCAGAGGTTTGATAAAGTAAAGCCCACTCTCTTTGGCTCCCTTATTGGCAATGTCTTGACAGTCTGAAGAAAAAGAAATTTTTACTGTGGTTTGAAATCCAGGTAAGACTGTTCCAGCCTTGAAAATGAGCTTTTAACACGTTGTGAACTACTGTATTCATTTCCCAAGAAGCATTTTCTTACTTCTCACATCATCATTCCTTTCAAACTATTTTTAGCTACTCAAGAAAAGTGTAAGCAATTGGACACTTTAGATTTAATGGTTATACACTTTCCAAATTATTCCTATACATTCCAATTCATAAAATCTCCCTTACTTTATATGTTTGCTTTGATGAACATAACCCCAATATAAACTTTTCACTTACCTCTCCCAGTTATATCTTGTATTTGTACTGTGTCTCTGCAAGGTTCCTGACACTTTTCTTCAAGCTGGGCTACCTTCTGTCTCAGATTAGTGATCTTTTGATTATTTGAATTATATATATCCAGCAAAAATCTACAAGCAGAAGAATAAGATAGAATATTCCATTCAGAGGAGTAAATTTTGTGTTTTCTTTTAAAAATGCTACCTTATTTTCTCAAGAATTACTTCCTGATAAGTTATTCCACTATGGAAAAATTAAATCGTGTTACTAATTTGAGGTGAATTAAAATTCTAAGCTTTTTAAAAAAGAAAATAACAAAGTCCTTGTCAATATACAATATCCTTGTAAATGGTCATTCTGATTTTTACCTTCCGCATAAAGGGCAGCAGGTAACGACCTATGTGAGCGATGAGCCTGGTTAATAGGAAGACCACCTAATAATTATTCTTAGGACGCACCATTCCTAGGCAAGGAAGAGCTCTCTTCAGTAATTCACAAGTGCTGAAGCTTTATTCCTTTTCACTTGTGGATCTTCTCAGGATCTATTTATGGACTTCAATCTATAACTTACATGGAAAAAGTATCTGGGGCATTATCTTCTGTAAAATAAAACAACAGACACTTCCCCTTCTGTCTTAATGTTCACATTTACATGGCTTTGGAAAAAGGCTAGGGGAAGTAAAAACCCTGCTTTTGTAGTCTCTCATGGGGTTGCTTGTACATATTCAGAAATGATAGAAAACTATCTACAATGCATAGACTGTCGTGTCTTTCTTTGAAGTAAAGAAGGATAGACAAACTATTTGATCACTTTTTTTCTCTACTGCGCCTTAGAAAATTATTGCACCATGGTCTCCTTCAACTCCAATGATGGGCAATAACCATACAAATTATAATCTTAATAATAATCACAACAATAATAACAGTGGTCCTCTGATACCAAAAAGTGGAGAAATCCCTCCTGGAAGAATTCTCCCTAGCCACCATTTAGCTCAATTTCTTATGCTTTTTTGAGAACAATTTAGGAAAAAAAAATGAGATAGAAACTAAAACTGTATCTGAAACCCCATGTTCAGAAAGTTTATGAGTCCCTAGGAAGTTGTTAACAGAGACATTTTACTCTCAGGTTAAGGAAGGAGAATCCATAATTGCTGGTTCATTGTGCCATGATCAACACGTACCCTTTACAATGTGTGTTATACTTAGTCTCTTAAAACACATTTTTTCTGCTCTACCTTCAATATAATTTACTTTTATAGCTGGGATCCTTTCTATGCCTCTGCTTGCTAATTCCTCATCACCGATTTGTTGACAATCTTATAAAAAGAATTTTATTTTCAACACCCAAATTCCCCTCAGTTTGAATTTATGTTGTAAGACAAATGAGAGTAGGGGGGAACATTCTGATAAATACAGTGAGAAAAGCATTTGAAGACATCTACAACACCTTTCTCCCATATGATTATTAAAAAGCAATTATAACCCAATACAACTCATATTGCACTAAAAATTCCTACTTCCACTGTGTTCAAAGTGGTCAGGCATAATGCCAATGGGATATTATAAGTGGAAAAAAAATAAAAAGATTACTTCCATGGAAGTTTGGGATATTGAATAAAAACTAAATCAGTCTTGGAGAGTAAACTAAAACAAAAACGCTTACCGAATACTTGATGCATGTGTTATAAGCAATGCTTCGTATTTCACAATTTCTTCCATCATTTTCTTGGCTTCCCTGATAGCACTATCTATTCTACCTGTAATATGGGGTGAAAGACATAAAATTACTTAGGCAAATAGAACCACTAACACAACAGCAAAAGAACTTCACAAATTATTTTCTCAGTCAGTGGTATTCAGTTTCTCACCTGGCCTCTGTGGTTCATCAGAATTAGGGACGAGTTGGATGGCTTTGATCAGTTCTTTAACTTCTGATGTTTTGTTTTCAGCTTGATTTAAGATGTCTTCCAAAGTCTGTAGATCCTTGTCCACACTGGTTTGGTAAGTCGATAGGAAATCTGCAATTCCACAGGTAGTTGGACAATAACTACCCTGAAAGTACAACAATACAGTGATTAGAAATCTTGATAAAAGCTACATTTAAAATCTATTAATAAAAATAGCTAAACTGTAGACTATGTTAAAAAAAAGGGTTTAAAATGCCAAATGATATTTGTGAGAGAACCCCTTTTGTTCCTCTGCCCCTCTCCAGTCCAAACACAGTGAGAAACATTAAAATTACTTACAAATCTTTCATCTAAGATGCAGCAGTTGTCTTTGGTAGCAACACGCTAGAGGAGAAAAATACAGAAATGTCACTAGTTTATCATATATTTTCTTATTTTTCAGCTTTCCGTTTAAAACAAATGTGTCTTGTGAACAGCACACTTACTGCCAGGCATGTTGAAGAGAGCAATAGAAGAGTGTAGAAGTAGAGAATTAAATTCCGGGGGTACATGGACCAACTCATGATGTCGGGGGTGCTCGGTACTCCGAGCCCTGTATCAGCTCTGTGGCCTCTCAGGTTCCAAGTGTCCCTTTATGTAAGCTCCAAGAATGAGCAAGAGTGCCAGTGGCTGGAGCTGATCACGAGGCCTTCTTACCTGAAAGGTGGGGATGTCTTTCCCGTCTCTTTTTTCTTCATCCTGGCCCCCAACCTATGCTCACTCAGATTCCCAGATTTTGCACAGAGGTTTAAGCTCCTCCTTTTTGGCCCAGTTCAACCTTTCTCCTCTGAAGCAGATTGATCTGCAAAGGCTAGTGAAGCATTAGCCATTGCGATGAGGAGGGCGGGGAGCGTGGGAGGCTGCGTGTTGCAACCTCTTCCAGTACATGGCTGAGAGAGCAAACATAGAGAGCTCACCTCGACCAGAACAAACCCAGCCAGCCGACCCCAACCAGGACAACCCAGCCCAACTTTAAGATGGAACCTGGTGCCATAATCCAAATTACCGAAAGTCCTTTCTTAGCCCAGGGATGAGATAACATAATTCTTTTTAACCTGTGATTATGGCAGGAAGAGACTTTGCTTTCCACTAGGTCCCAATTTGTCAGTATTCTCAGGAACAAATGACACTGGAAATATATTCCTGCTTCTCTGTGTTGACCATTTTCTTTGTTTTTTCTTTCTTTTTTAAAAATTGAGATATAATTGACATATAACATTATATTAGTTTCAGGTGTACAACATAAGGATTCGATATTTGCGTACATTGCAAACTGATCACCACAATAAGTCTAGTTAACATCCATCACCACATTCAGCTACAAAATTTTTTTTCTTGTGATGAGAACTGTTAACATCTACTTTCTTAGAAACTATCAAATATACAACACAGTATTATTAACTGTAGTACTCATGCTGTACATTACCTCCCCAGGACTTATTTATTTTATAACTGGAAGTTTGTGCCTTTTGACCCACTTCACCAATAAGTTGACCATTTTCATAGGCTCTCAGTTCGCAGTGAGCTTTTGAGCTCAACTCTTCCCTTCGTCTTGAAGGACTGGCTGATGAGTCATGATACGTGCCACAGAAGGGAAACAAGTCAGGAGCCTGCTTTGTTTTTCCTAAGGTTCCATCTATCTACCTCAGAGGAAAGCCTGGATACAGGAGGCAGCAGCTAGAAAAATCCACCCCCATAAGTGTGACTAGAAGCATAGCCGGAGGAAAAGGGCTAAAATGAGACATTAGGATAGGGCTGTCCCTTATGCTCTGCCCCTAGAGCTTCCTGGGATATTGGGAAAATGCATTTATAATCATCTGCTATCGATAATTTACAATTGTGCATTACCATTGTTATTAACATCCCTATTTTGAGTTATCTCTTATTTCCTCCTCTGAAACCAAGCTTACTGCAAATTTTGATTAAATATATTAACGGGAGAAATATATCTGGATTGAAAGAAATCCTAATGCTGTAATGTTTAGTCTTAAGTCTTTACAAAGGAATATTTATGTTTTCACTTGAAACAAAAATAAATGTTCCTACTCGGTAAATAATCAATAATTATTATAACAAAGTGAATATATCAAAACCAGACTTGTTGCCTTTTTTCTCCTCCTTAATAGTTCCCCTCACCAGTTATTGCCAGTTATTGCCAATCACATCACAGTACCACCAGCCAATTAAAGTCTTGAAGTCTTCCTCATCCTCCTTATCTATTCATCTAATCAGTTGTCAAAGCTTGTGGTTAAAACTATTTTCACACTGTCGCTTATATTTTATTCCTACTTTCTATTTCCACTGCTGACATCCCAGAGGAGGCCCTCTTCTTTCTTGTCAGGACTACTTGTCTAGACTGCCTGCTAACTGATCTCCCTTCCTCCACTCCAGTCACTTCCTGCTCCAAACTGTCTGTCATTCTGCTGACAGATTAATCTTCCTATAATGTAGCTCTGATTATGACATCCACTGGCTCAAAACCTTCTATGACTCCCTATCTCCCATCATAATGAATGTAAACATAATAAATATCTCTCCTACCTTTGCTATTTTTTCTCCCTTCATTCTATTTCCTACTCCCTCTGGTCAAACCAAATTGAATCACATAACATCCCCTTAATGTGCACCATCTAGTCTTATCTCTTAGATGGTGTTTTTCTTTTTATATGTCAGTCCCTCTGCCTGGATTGCCTTCATACACACTCGTGCATCCCTGGCTGTCAAAATCCTATACAACCTTAAGATCCCGTTTTATGATTTCTACTCCCCCCCCCCAAAACAAAAACCAAAACTCTGGAGGCCACCTCTACCTCCTTCATAGCATTTACAGCAACCTTGTATTATACGTAGACATGCCGTTATCTACCTCATTAGATTGTAAACTTGTCTTTACGGCTACTGCACCTAGCATAGCAACATTTAACGCTCAATAATGACTTGATGGCATTGAATTGAATTGGGCTGGAAGTAAGTGTTATAAAGTTTACACTTCTAATATCTCTCAAAACTTCCAAATTGCAAAAATAAATGACTTTGGCAAGAGTAATTATGTAAAAGTAAATGAATAATCAATCAGAAAGTAACTATTGATAAGGCGGGTGTGTAAAAATTACTAATCAGAAATCAATAGCCATCTTCTATAAAACAACAACCAGTTAGAATATATAATGGAAGAAAAAAAATCACACATAAGTTCAACCACAAACACACAACTAGATAAAATATCTAAGGAAAAAGTTAATAAGAAATAGACAAGGTTGATATTATTAAAAATTCCAAACAATACCTTAGGGATATAAAATAATAATTGGAAAAGATGAAAATCATGCTTTATTTCTAAACAAAAGAACCAATAAAAATGTCAATGATTTCCATGATAATTTAGAATTGTATTGATATTTCAATAAACTATGAACATGTTTTTTTCTTCTTTCTCCTTTTTTTTTTCTTTTTAAGATTTAGATAAGCTGTTTCTAACCTTCAAATAAAAAAAAGAGAAAATTATCTTGGAAAATTCTAAAAAAGAGGAAGAAGAATGAGGACAAAAATATCTCCCAAATATCAAAACATATTATAAATCCATAATTTTTTAAACAACATGATACTGAGCCATAGTAGGTAGATAAGTATTGTCAAGATATAGGCTTAAATTTATTTTGATGTTCAGTATGATAAAGTTGACATTACATATCAGTGAAGACAAAAAAAATCATTCAATATATGGCATTAGTATGGTGATAAGACAACTGGGAAGCTATCTGGGGGAAAAATTAAATGGCATGCATACCTAACTTCTTATGCCAAAATAAATTCAAGATTAAACAAATAACTAAGTATAAAAAAGGAAACTACAAATACTAGAAGAAAATATGAGAGAAATCATTCATAATACTTGAGTATGGAAGATCTATCTAAACATGATACAAAATCCCAGAAAAGATTGATAAATTTTGACTACGTTAAAAAAAATTTCTTCCCAGCCAAAAAATCTGGTACATACAAAATCAAAGGCAAAGTACAAAAAGACAACAGAATGCGTATACACACATATTAGCATATACATTGAATATCATTTCAAGATTACACAGTAGAGTCGACCAGGGTTTACATGGAGAGGTATGGGGTTGGAGAATGAAGGACAGCTTGGGAAAAACACTTCATTTTCTCTGTATACTCTCTATATTTAGAATTTTGAATATATGCACATATTATCCTCCCAAAAAGTACATGTGACTAAAATGTGTAATTTTTGATCATTCACAATGATTTATTAGCTGTACTAGTAATTATTTCTTGATTATTTTTTATTTCAATAGAAAAGGTGACTAAGGCACCGCCTTTTAAGAAGATTATAGCCCAATGGAGGAGAATATGCATAAGTAGTTGTTAAGAATTCTGGAGAACATCTGCCTGGGTTTGAATCCCATCCTCACAACTTACTAGCTGTGTCACTCAGCACAAGTAACTTAACCTCTCTGAGTTTCAGTATCTGTGTTGGTAAAATAGAAATAATATTTCTAATATAACACCTACTTCATAGGATTGTTACCAGGATTCAATGAAATGATGTGCTGAGCACATTGCCTGATTCACAGAAAATGTTAAATAATTGTTTATAAGGCTTATGAATTACCAAATGTTTTACAGTGACAATTAGAATTTGTACAAATAGGTATTTCATTTCATAGGATTGCAACAGGGATCATTACTGGTAGATTTGGTTTATGGGGAACAAGCTTTGTTGTTCCAGTTACAGAAAGTTCTCTTTAATAAATGATCTGCGCAACTAACTACAGGCTGATTCTGCAATGCTCTCAAGAGAAGAAAGCATCTGGTTGTCTAATTTAAGTGGAAATTCCACCTAAATTAATTCTACCAATCAAAGATGAAATGATGATAGAACTAGACTGCACACATTGTGAGAAGGTGTACTTCCTATCAGTAAGAGTTCAAGCAAAGCAGTTCAGAGAATGTTGCCATGTGGTTCTTTTAGCTGAACACCATAAAATATTGATTTGTTGAATTTAAGGTAACAATTCATAATTTTGTATTAAATCTTATATATACAATATATAATCTCATATGCACAAGGTTGATAAAACACTTAAATTGAGGAAGTAGAAAATTCTATCTTATCCAATTTTAGAAGCGTTGTATTTGTATTCCTGGCTTTTTGCTGACTTGTATTAGAATCTGAGATGTAATATCACAATTTTAGAGAAAAGAATTGTTTTTTACTACAATCTCAAGTCCTAAATTAAAATCTTATTGGACAAGATGCTCTTTGAGAGAAAATGGCCAAATTTGATTTAGAGGCCTACATTGGCCCTGCATTCAGTCACTTAGGTCTATTAAATTTTAACTAGCTGTTCTTTTCCATGTTTGAGCGAATTTTTATTCTGATAAACTATAAATGATTAATGAATTCCAGGAAAGAAGAATATTTCTTAAATCAAATTTCCTCTCCTTCCATGTTTGTTTTCTGAGAAAATAGCATGGGTAATATTTAAGCCAAAATAATCATTTAATTTAATTCAGAGGTCAATGAGCTTGTTTATTGAAATAATAATTTCCCAAA